CTTCCTTACTTGAACCAACCCGGCTAACTACTTTCCAAACTCATTTTCGGCAAATGGTTGCAGCACAGCGACAGGAAATTAGAAAAGTGTAATGAATTAAAAAAAAAAAAAAAAACCTAAGGAGAAAAGTGAGTCAGAATGAGATAGAAAAAGAGCAAACGGGAGATTGAAAATAGTTTAAACCATAAAGCTATAAAGAAAAGAAAAACGGGGAAAAATAAAGACAAATGTAACAGACGGGAGAGCCAGACCACACTTTGTCTGTGGCGTCAAAGTTGGCGGCCAAGCTGATGGCCTGAGTCGCTATAGGCCGGCAGCGTCGCGGTAACGGCAACGTCACTGTGCAAACCACAAGCTGATGTCATCCGAGGCTGCTGTTCGCCAGTGGTTACCGATCATTCTGTCCTCGCAAAACCCTGCCGAGGATGTGTGTGCGTCTACCGCTGGCTAAAGACCTGAGATGACGGAAGCTCTTGAGATGAATATCTGGTAGTGCTGTTAAACTCTGACCACATTTGTTGTGACCACAAGTCTTTTCCTGCACAAACCAAAAGACGTGACATACCTGAGGACGTCGCATTTGCAACGCAGTAAAGCTGCTGCTCTGCTCTTTTTCTTTGGCAGATTTAGTCTTATAGAAGTTAGCGCACTGACTGTGACAATGCTGTTGTAACATTACAAAGAACATTAGCTCATGAACTTGTGCTATGAAAAAACAAATCCAAAAAACCTTAATTCCAGGAATATAAAGTGTCATTTTCCTTCCTCCCATGACCGACCTTCCTGTCTCACTGAGGACTTGTTGGACATTATTACCACCTAGAGCAATTTTCCTTGAGGAAATTTACTCTGGACACTCTTTCTTGAAAAATAGAGAATGCATTCAGTTATTGGTTTGCGTAAACATGATGCAAGGACACATTTAATTTACTTTTCAATAACTTGACTCATGCCCTTATCTGCACAGGACACATGGCTGCTGACTGACACATGTCATTTGTTTCAGGTTTTACGGCTGTTACCTTTTTGTTTTCCTGACACCGCGGTATAATTGTAAATGCTGGCTGCACTGTGTAGCGTAGTGGACCCAGAATAACACCAAGACTTATGGTTTTAATTCTCACTTAGTCATGCTTTATGAGCCACAGAGAGAGAGAGAGAGAAAACTCCAACATCTGTAGCCTGCAGTAATGGCAGAGAGAGAAAAAGAGAAACTCACCATCACAAGTGAAGTCTGGGGTGGCCACGTCCTGGATGGGAATCTCCTTGAGGAAGGCTGGCTTCTGGCAGCGAGGGTTCCCACTGACCACCCTGGTCTTCTTCAGCCACTGACCCAGCCAGGCCAAGTGACAGTCACACATATACGGGTTGGACAGAAGGTTGCTGTGGAAAGGATGAGGGGCAGAAGAACATCATGGATTAGTGTCAAGAAAACAAAAGAAAAATGGAGTTTTCCATCAAAAGATGTTGCTCAATCGTGATTCCATTACTTCCATTTTCACAGCGTAATGAATGAATCACGGCAAACTGATTCACATTAAAAATCTTTAAAAAAAATGTCTGTAAAATACTGATGCATAGATTCCATTCATCAAGACAACACACACCACAGATTAACAGGTAGAAACTCAAATTAGACTGTAGCTGACACAGCAGTGTAACAAAACACAAGACAACAAGACCAAAAATGAGGATTATTAGCTATTTGTACTGTACAATACATCCAGAGTAATAATAATAATAGCAGTAATTTGTGTGGTCTATACTGTGCAATACAAATAACACAGACACAACTGTTTTTGGTCAGTCATACACTTGAATAAATTTAGATGGAAGACAAAGAGAGGCGGGGGGGAAGGGACAGAGAAAAGGTTATCAGTTATTTTTATTCATTTTATAAAGTACAAGGGAGATGGAGACTGAAGAAGAAAAATGGCAGAGTGGAAAATTGTCAAAAGGGAGAAAGAAAAGAGAAAAGGTTATCTGCTCATTTTATTCATTTTTGATCACCTCTCACTGCATTTTGTTGCTTTTGTAACACAGCTCATGTAATATTTATGCTGAGCCATATTTAAACCGAATAAGGGGAGGGAGGAGGCATCAGCAGCACACACGAGACAGGCGGTAAACTGAAGTTAAAGCTGCTCCGGGCGTCTCAAATCTGGCGGCACGTTCAGGCCGAGATGGGCAAAAAATATCAAGAGTGTTTTTGTGTTGCAGCCCGATTCTTTATTTAATCGGATAGAAGTTCAGTTTCATTCAAATTTGTGTCTGATTACGTTTAACAAAGTCGTACAACACAAAATTAAAGATACAACCATGTAAAACTCGGTGAGTTTAAAACGTATGGTGTCTATATTGTCAAAATTACTTTGTCAGAGCCAGAAACTGTAAAATAGAAAGAATGGTTAGATTTTAAATTTCTCTAATAAACTACACATATCATCAAAATCGATTTGAAAACAATAATAAAACACAAACAAACAAACAAAATTAATCAAATCTACGTTTAAGAAGAAAAAAGAAAAGAAAAAAAAAACATTATAAAGTGTTCGGTGCAACCATGAAGCCACGTAAGTCAGAATATCTATTGGACACTTGCATTTTTTATTTTATTTTTTTACATTTTACATTCTTTTAAAAGGATTTTTGTAGAGTAAATAATAAAAGACGTTAAACTTTCATGTTTAGTTCTATAATTTATAGCATTCTAACGTTGTTATGTTGCACATTAGCCGTTACGTTCTCAGCTCACTGTCATCGTTTTACATTCAACACAGCTCGGGGATGACTTTCAAAATAGCTGCAGGAAAAACAGATTTCTGATTGTGGATGACAAAACAATGACAAGTTCGTTGAGAAAAGGTTTCCCTCCTTGTTTCTACCTTCACTGACAAGAAACTATGACAGTTAAAATCATAGAAGTAGTTCATAAAAACATTGTAAATTGCGTTTTAAATGGTGATGTGGTGCCTCCATGTCGTGTCTGGAGCTGCGTACCACTCCATCCACAAACCTAAATGTTGGGCTGCAATATTAATGGCGTGCTGCTACAGATAGGGATAAGTTATTTGTTCATTTCCTTGTAATGAATTGACCTCACTGCGTGGCAACCAAACCTAAGCTAAATCCCTTCCTTCCTTTTCAATGTGTTAATCTTTTAATTAAATGGACAAAGTCTATTGGGAAACAACACAAAGAATGGAGACAGATATTAGAAATAATAGGAGGGAGAGAGAGAAAAAAAACCAGAGGATAGATAGGGGGATGAACAGAGGGTCTAGAAATAAAAACTATCCATCTTTCTTTCATGCCAGACAGCAGGCAGATGTTTGAAAACAGCATCAAATGTTACTGCAAAGCCAAAAAAAAAAAACTAATGTCGAAAAAAGAACGATTGGTGACAAATGGCAGGATTGAGCGAAACATAATATCTGCCCATTTTTTTTTTGTGGTGATAATCACTAAAAGCCCCAATGAGCAAACCTGAGTTTATGCAAGAATGCATCTGTCTTTCCTCTCCTCCCTCTACCTTCTCTGTTTTCCCTTTCTTGTCTCCCACCTTTCCTCCCAAAAGACTCAGGTAGCAACTTGAATCAAAGATGACAGGTACACAGCAGGACACGGAGCAAGAACAAAAGGCAGAACAAGGGAAGGAAGCATGGAGGAAAATAAAGAGAGAACAGAGTGGATGTGGGGAGACTTGCTGGGCTTGGCATGTCTGTCTTCTGAGAAAAAAAAAAATATAAGAATGAACCTGTAATGTTTTATTGAGCTGATAAAATCTATTATTTACAATCTTCACATCTGGGTGGCCAGGTGATTGAAGAAAAAAACAACACATACACCTACACACATTCACGTCTCCTTTGCTGCTCACTCTCTCCTTCCTAACAATAATGTTATGTGGCAGGTTAATACTTGTCATAACTTTACTACATGGCAGTTGTTTTTTTTTTCTTTCTACACTTCTGCACAGAGACTGAGCACCAATCAGCATCTTCAACTCAAGTCATCCCATCCCTACACACACACACACACACACACACACACACACACACCAAACACGTGTGCGGACTCAAAATATGCCGCTCAAGAATCAATGCCTTTGTCGCAGTAGGTGTTTGCATCTTTGGGAAGATAAAAAACAAGCTCGCAGATGCTCTTGTGTCTGCCCATGTGTGGCTGTGCAGATGCTGAAATATATTTGCTTTGATAACAAATGCCCTGGGATCCAGTCCATTTTAGTCGATAATGATGGAGAGCATCTGCGAGGAGAAAAGTGTCCAGAGAGCGACACGTGTGCAAATGTTGGGGCGTGAAAAAAAAAAAAAAAAACTCACAGCAGGGATTTTAAAAAATTAGGGGACAGAGAGAAAAAAGAGAGAGTGGGTGAGAGATAAGGAAAGAAGCACAGACAAACGAGAGGGAAGATCCTGCTAAATATGAAGATAGATAGATTGTGCTGAGCGATAGAACAAACGATGGGATGGAAAAAGAAAAAAAAGCAAAACAGGAGAATAAGGGACAGAAAGCAGGGGTAAACTGAGGCGGATGTGACTCACATGGTGGACAGGGAGTGCAGGGTGGAGAAGGCTCCTGGGGCGATACTGGAGATCCTGTTGTCGTACAGCGACAGCAGACGCACCGAGCTCAGACCCGTGAATGTGCTGTTGTCAATGCAGCTGATCTGGTTGCTCCGCAGCATGCTGGAAACACAAATGCAATATGTTTAGCAGATGACAGCAAATTTTTCTCCTGAAAAAATCACAAAAAAAATTAATATGAAGTGTTCATTTGCAAAACCAGATAACTCCATTTTTGTAGATTTTCAGAAAACTTGTTTTTTTCTGTTGTTTGCATGAGATAAAGTCAGTCAAATTAAAGTTTAGTGGATTTGACTCAGTAGAAATGACAAAAATAGAGATAACTTAAGTCTGATTGATATTGTCTCAGGTAGACGATGGAAAAGTGGGATGGAGGTATCTGTTTTTGTAAATTAACCCTTCATATATAAAAACAGAAAAATAAAAAATCCTCAGCTTTCCAACTTTCCAACAGGTCCATGAAGGACTCATCTGTGACAGGACCTTATGGTAGAAAACAAACCAACCTGACTCTTTAAAATACAAAATATTCTGTGTTGCTCTGCACAATCAGGAAGCCATTAGTGACTGACTGGCAACCAACCGTCATGGGACAAAGATTGAGGGAAGTCTGGGCTGAACTGCAGGCTGTGTTTCCACAGAGCAGATACAATCAGGGACACGTATGAAAACCAATTAACATGGAAGCAGCAAAACATCTATCGCATACAGAGCACCTTTTTTTTGTTTGTTTGTTTTTTTGCCCTGCGGGCATGGGAGATATTGATAACGGATATTTTCATTTTCTGTAAAATTAGTAATCAAAGGAATTCAACTTCTGCTTTTTTTTTTTTTTAACTTGAGGAAAACTCTTTTTGACAGGCAGTCTTACTTTGTCCTGAGCTAAAAAAAAAAAACAACAAAACTACATACTGGTAGATGAAAAGAAACAAAAGACAGAGATAAAAGAACATCACCTGGACATAAAATAAAACAGAGAGCTGGGGTAAATTCAAACCAGTCCCCACAGGACGACTGTGACAGACCCAGCAATATGACATTAGCTTTTGACGTGCAGTCATATGGGAGCAGGCTAAGTGAGTTAGTTAGCATTAGCAATCTCTGGGACAGGCTAACCTAGTTAGCAAGGCTATTACGGGAGCAGGGAGCCTCTTAACATAATACAGAGACAGCCATGATACCATTAGAGAGTCATTAGCCGGCATATATATACATGATAGCATTAGCTAGTCATTACTGAGCATACACAGACAACATTAAGTCATGATTGCGTACACTATCCTGTAACCCCTAATTGAGCACTAGCCTCTTTATGGTGGGTGCCCAAATTAAAGCAGCAACAATATGGTGTCATTAGCCTTGATTTCAGGGTGAGTGAGTAAACAATCCCGGTCCTCTCCTTTCAGAGTGGGGAAGAAAAAGTTAATGAAGTCCACCATAAACCAGATGCTAACACAAGTCATAGCCTGCTTGATGGAAGGTCTTTACAGCTACAAGTGACGACCATGACAGAACTTGTAGGCGATTGTGCAGGAAAAGTAGCCCAGACAGTAAACAGGACGACCAAACTGGATAAAATCAGAAGTGGAACCAGTCTGCAACATGGTTTGCTGTTGAACTATTACATTTATTTGTCATGGCAATATGAGGTGATATAGCTGTGATATTTATGCACTGATGCACCAAGGGTTGTACTACAAAGCAGGTTCTTTGCGTAAGACGGCTTGACAAAACCTAAAACCCCGATCTGACAAACTGGTGCAACAACAGTGATTATCAACTGTCTTTTTAAACTCTGGGTTTCTTCACCAGACCACGCTCCCATTAAAGTGGGCGTTTGATGCATCATTTGACTCTTCTTCTGCACAAAAGGCAAAAAAGTTCTTCAGTCAAGAGGAACGGGTTGTTATAATAGAGAGCTATGAAAAACATAAAAATTTACTGGGGTAAAAAATATAAAAATCACTGTTAAATGATGCAAGAAAGGAATGCTGGCAGAAAATTGTGAATCATGTAAGTGAATCTATTTATTTGACCACCCTGTACCTCTCCATGCAGCTGCTTCTTTCTAACAGCTGAATGTTAGACCTCTTAAGCTGTAAACTTCATACATTTTAACGTAATGAAGTTTATTTCGGTCTGACTCATGGAAATCACTTTAGATTTTGACCAAATCTCACTAAGAAATTTAATCTTACTTCAGTGCACTTTCCTCTCAGTGCTTTTGTAACCCTATGTTGTGGTTATGGCACCTAATTTTCTTAAAAAGTAGATCACCAGCCACATAAAAATAGTGCTAAAAACAATCACACACAGTTGTGTTTCCAGCACTTCCATCAACGTGACCCTGGCATGAAGCTAAACCTGACCTCCTTCTGACCCAACACTAAGTCTTCCAACTAACATTTAATGATTCAATACCTCACCTCCCTTTTGGAGGACAGTCCCAACGATGTGAATGTGTGAACAGATTTAAGCTCTCACCGCATGAATAATACAAATACACACACTCTCTACTGTAAAATACACTTACAGGGTTTTCAGGCCACCGAGGCCTCTGAACATGCGTCCCTGCAGCCCGGTCAGCTTGTTCCCCGTCAGCAGCAGCTCCAAAACTCCACCCGCTCCATCAAACACACCTTCACGGATGTCCCTCAGCTTGTTGTTGCTCAGGTTGCTGCAGAGGGGACAAAAAATATACAATAAATAAATGTTTTTCATGTATGCAGTTGTGCAGGGCTGCCTATGAAGTTGTTCACAATCAGAGGGACGAGACATGCAAACACACACACGAGTGTCACACACTCATTCATAACATTTCCAATTTAATTGCAGCAATCAATCATGTCCCTTCAACTAATAAAGGTTAACTCTTCTCTCTTTCATCTTCATATCCTTGTCTTGTACAATAGCCCAGATATTCTGATAACACAACCAACCGCTGCTATAATTCACAAAGCAGGCAGCAAACATACACGCATAAAGGTAAATGAGACAAGTGGTCCCAAACAAGTGAGAACGATCGCTATCTCTCTTCCTTTGCACACACATGGAGAGAAATGAAAAGGAAAAGAAAGGCCGCAGAGACAATAACTTGAGATGATAGCTATCACAACTACTGTAGCTTTCATTCATAGCTACTTTTGTGTTTCCTCTTATCAGCGCTATGGAAGATGAGAGGAAAGAGGGAAGGCGAGCGGAAAGTAGATGAATAAAGGCAGTTAAAAAAAGAATAAAAAAAAAAAAAAAGAATGATTTCAGACTAAGTTAAAGAGCAGCGGAGCAGATGAAAGTGCAAGAGAAAATCCGAGGTGAGGGGAGGCGAGGAAAGGAGACGGAGAAGCGAGGGAAGGAACCAAGAAAAGGAAAATGGAAATGAGTGCTGGCCAATCTATATCGTCAGTGACACTGCTAGATGGTTAGCAATTTCCTCTCCAATAAATCAACTTCTGGTCTCTGCTCTGTCTTTCTCTATCTCACTCTGACACACACACACACACACACACACACACACAAACGTAGAGTAGGTTGTAGATAAGGACTGACTGTAAATCTGAAGCGAAGGCCCATCTTCTATTTCCATTTAATATTTTCTTCCTCCAACCCACCCTTCCATTCTCTCCATCTTTGCGGCATTCCCATCCTCCTGCCCGTCTCCAGTCACTCCTCTCCCTGCATCCCTCGCTCAGCTCTCTCTGATGTTCACTCCCTCACTGCATGCATGTCGTCTCACTTTTCTCTTCGCTTCAACATTTTCCTTTTAGTTCTATTGTTTTTGTTTTGCTTTCACTCGCCCTTCTGCAGTTGCACTTCAATCCTTCCTTTTCTCCCTCTTTTTTTCTTCCTCTTTCCATTTGTTCTCATCAGCTTATTCCGTTAAATTACTTTTGCATCATTCCCTTTATTGTAAATATATCGAATGGGGGATAAAGAAAGGAGAGAAGCATCCCATTAGAAGTGACAACAAAGTGTGAGATGCATAAGATAGCCCCATTTTTTGCCTCGTCCACTTAACATCCTTTTCAGAGTTAGATATCTGGGTAAATAAAGACACACTAAAAGACAAACAGTCCTGACCATAATAGAAAAATACAACCATTGGACAAATATATAAGTGCTTCTTTCAGAAGCTTACGTACATCTTCTTCAAGTTGGGGAGCTTCTTAAAAGTCCCAGTAGCCTCCAGGATGGCAATCTCATTGTCGTTTAGCCGCCTACAGAGAGGAAGACAGAGAGGAGAGGGAGTCAGATGTTTATTCTTTTAGGACACAAACTGCTTCATATTTAGCGCGCGCACACAAATGAACATCCACATAAGAGAGCTGCTGCTTCATGGCCGCATGAAGGTTAAGAGGACTTTAGTGACTGTTGAAGCATGATGCAGCACAAAACAATGAAGGGAAGGAAGAAATAAATAAAAAAAAAAATTTGGAGGGAAGAGAAGAGAAGAGCAATGAATCTTTTCTATGTAGTCATCAATACCCACACTGCCCTAAGCCAAGAGAAAACAGTTTGAGAGATAGGAAGCTAGACATCTGCTTTATTGAGGTAATTTGTACAAAAAGGGTGCTGCTAAAAGGATGCTCTTTGTGTATGTGTGTGTGCGACAGAGGTAGATTGAGAGAAACTGAGGAAGAGAAGCTAAAAGTTCAGCTCTAGGGGACACTGTCTAATGAGATACGGGTGGTTAGAAGATGGAACAACCTGCATAAAGCTAAACTGAAATGATATATCGCAAAGTCTCAAGTAGATCGGCGATGGTGGGAAAGTGATATTGTTTCTACTGCGGGGCTGATTTGCATATTTTGAATGTAGATAAAACATCCGATCTCTTCACCGCGTGATCTACAGCCCACGATATCGACCGCACATTTAATTGAGTGCAAATAATTCTCTTAAGACTGATTTCATACTTTTTGAGCGCTCTCAAGGCCGATGTCAAGGGTTTTTATGGCTAGTGGAAAGAACCACTGAGAAAGGCCGAAAGCGAGACAGATTAGAGAGAGAGAGCAAAAATATTAAAGCCTTCAGCTGAACCACAACCTCCCTCTGATTTCCCCTGATAAAGCAGGTTACACGGCCCGACTGACGGCTTGTGTGCGTGCGTTACTGTGCGTGCAGGCTCGTGGCCTTCAGAAACCTACTGGTTAGCTGCGTTCTTAAGGGAAGGAAAGCGAGAGACAAGGTGTCGTAAACAGTAGAAACTCTGATGTGCCCTCCAACCAACCATAAAGGACAAAGTATATATTTTTGACATGAAGCATCCTGGGAATGGATAGAGAGAAAAGGAGGCAGGATACAAAGGTTCACAGAGAGAAACAGAACTAAAGAAAGATGAATTGGGGGATAATGATCTGTGGAATACAGGCGTTATTAGTTATCTAAAGTGGCAGCCATGGCTGAATTCACCATTATACAGCTAACCTCACCAATAGAAGTAATGCCGTGACAGCCGTCCTGCATCTGCCTTAATGCTGCAGTGGTCCCCCTCTGCAGCTTTTCTCCATTACCACCACAGTGACAACCATAGCAGACACTCGCCTTCCTTCACCTGCGTTTTAAAGATGCCACCGATTCAGCACTAATAGGCGAAACTTTGCTCCAGGCTGGATTCCTATTTCCTTGCAGGAAATATTAGCTTATTGAATATTTGATCAAGGACCAGGTGCTGAAAGTAAAATGGGTCTTGCTGATTTTAACGCACCACACTTGAGTCACAATTCTGAAGCGGAAATCCAGTTTTTGATCTGGAATTGTGTTTATTTTATGACCTACGAGCAGTTTGCATAAGTCTGTAAATCACATCACAGACATGACATTTTATTACATTTGCTGTCACGCTGTGTTTTCAAAAGCTCTTTAAAATTCTGAACAGTTCATTTCTCTTCGAACGCAAATTACTATAATCCCTTAACATAATACTTCATCACCCTCATATATATAAATATATTAGGGCTGTAACTAACAATTTCATCAAACGTGTGGTTTTGTCCAACATCAGGTCAAAAGCTTAATGGAATTCAACTCGTATATTACGCAGGGAAAATAAGTCGGCCCACACAAAGTGGAAGCTGGAACCAGAGGATTCACGGTCTAATCGCTGCGGCACTAAAAGATATATTTTGCCAATGATTTTGCAAGATTCTGAATTCACACAAGACTTTTTAACCTTTCTCGCAATCACATTACAGAATTCCTGCAGCGTGTTATGTTGCTCCTTTGCCATTTTTCAGCGGTTAAATAAATGATCCATGGGACTATTCAGTATTCTAGTGTGAGACCCTTCGCCAGACATGATGATGGCTCCTTTGGGACTTGGAGGGAGATGGAAGACTGTTGAGGGGCATTTTGGTCTGGGAGCTAAAAATGAAAAGTGACATTCTTGATACTGCACTGAGAGACGTAGAGAGACCGAGAACGCATGTGCATACATATGTGCATTTATGTATGTCTGTGCATGTAAATAAGTTGCCTGTTTTCGTCTTTAACGTGATCTTGTGTGAATGCTTAAACATGCATGCGTGGCTGTTTCAGTGCGTGCAGGTGCCTGAGAAAGTGTAGCGCTTCTTGACAAGGCTGTGGTTAGGTTAAAAGGCGTGCCTGTACTTTACACTTTCTCCTTTAAGCAGTTTAAAGGCCAATTCATGATTTTTGCTGCTCCATGTGCTGACCGATGCAGACTTTGAAAGCAACCACACTGTTCTAGTCATACTACAATAGGTACGCTTAGGACAGTCCCATTGCTCCTTATATTGAACACAGAAAAACACATATGGCTCCTGTGGATATTTCTGAAAGGCTGGCTGTGACTTTGCCCCTTTTGCAGGATATAGCAGCTTGCTACAGATCAGGCTGCAGCATCGAGTGAATGGGATTATTCATGAGGTGTGCCGAGCAAAGGGGGCGGACATAGCACAGGATTTCTGGAGAAGTTACAAAGTCCCACTGTGCTTGGGCTCCGTCGATGGTTATTATTTCGTTTACAATTGTTCTAATGATGAATCACAAAGGTATGGATAATGGCACATCTCATTGCACAGTCTCCTCTCAAAACAAGCATTTGTTTGTTGAGCACCGTTTGTTTTCCTGGCACATGCGCAGTCAGTGCATACAGTCCCACGAGCCTTGCAGATTTTGTAAAATTTATGTGCGCATAGCTTGAAAGGCAACAGCAGCTGACTTACAGGTCGGTGGTGTGTTCAGGGATATGTGGAGGTATTCGGGTCAGTTTGAGATTGGAGCAGTCGACCACCGTCCCTTCACAGCGACATTTCTCCGGACATACCAGATCCTGGAAACACTCCCCACTCAGACGGCTGCGATAGTCCTCCTGACCTGCAGAGGAGAGTGAGAGTGGAGGAGAGGCAAAGAACAAAGCAAAGAGAAAGTGACATGGGAATAAGGACAGGAGGAGGGAGGGGATTGTGAGGGTTGAATGAGTAAGAAGTAAACAATACAGGGGTGAAGACAGACGAAAACAGGTAGGAAGGAGAAGGAGGAAGGGGAGGTAAATTAAATCAACAGAGAGAACAGAAAAACGATGGAAAGGAAGAGGGAAAGACAGAAAGATAAAGTGAGACACCAAGGACAAAAAGTCAGACATGATATTTTAAAATTGAATTCTTGTCTCATTTACATATTTCCAGATCTTATACTTTTAATGCTGTACCAATATGGGAAAAAAAAAATTAAATCAATAAACACTTTAAGACACATTCAAAGTCTACTGCAAGATGACCTGATAAAACCGTTTGTTGCTGTTTGGAAAACTCTATTTTTTTTCTCTAAAAAAATACAATCAGCCAACCGGTTATTTACAAGACATGAACCTACATGTACTTGGTTTGATAAAAGAGCAGGTTGCAGTTGTTCCTGCAGCACTATGCTGGTGCAGGCACAGAGCTGATACGGGGAGGGGTTCCTCTGCACGGGGACCACTGTAAATCAGATTAACAAACAGATATCCAGGTGGTTTTATGGAATCATCTTGCAGATAAATGTGGTTTAACCCCGGATGTTTTTGTTTAACAAGGTGAGCCAGAGACCACTTCTGTTATTTAGATATAATGCGAGCAGATATTATTTATGACCACGAGTGCCTGTAGAATAGACCTGCTTTACATCATGCAGCAGGGCTTGTGTTCGTGCACCACGTACAGCTCTCTCTTTCTAGAACTCATGGTTATCATTACCTCTTTTGCTTCCTCTTGCTCTCTCCTTGTTTATCTGTTCTCTGTCAACTTAACCTTTTCTGCGTTTCACCACTCCGCTATCAGACTGTTCTTACATTGGCAGAGACTACTTGTTCCTTCATCCTCTGCCTCTGCTCGCTCCTGGCACACGCTCTTTATGGCTCATCTGTTCTCTGCTTGTCATTGTTAAACAACCAAGACCACCTATCGAGGGGTCGTTTGCGATGCATAATCTCGATCTGAGCTCAGCAAATGATCGCTGCTCTCCAGTGGAAGAATATTATGGGATAATGTCTCTGGGCTGCCTCTAACCTTGTTGGTTGGTAAGCTGATGGAAAAGAAGGAGCAAGGGAAAAATTAAGGAGGAAAGAGAAGGATGGTGAAGAACAAAGCAAAGAACAAAGAGTGGGTTTTAAAACCTTGGAGAGCTGGTTGAAGTTTTCCTCAGTGAAAATCAAGAGTGAGGGGAAACTACAGAGGTGGTAGAATCAGCCATGCCAAAAACCGAAACACTGCCATGCCAGTGGACAATTTGAACATAAAGCCATATTTTTTATGTGCTATAAAATACTACAAAGTATTTTCCAAAGCAAACAATACCAAAAGCATGTGTAGATTTCAAATATACGCTAGCAGTTGAGCAATCAGAGTAAAGTGGATGTTTTTCCAATCATTTAAATGCACCCTGTGGAGTTTTTGACCACCAGTAGCACCATGAAGCATTGATTTTACATGTGGGTCCTCGTTTTGTTTGTATCGCGGCGCCCATGTAAGCATGCAGGTACATGGGTGATGCAATAAAAAAAATAACTAATTAAATCTGCAGTCACTTTCATGCCTGATCCACTAATCAATTCTTGGTCCATGCAAAGAAAAGAAGCAACACGGTAACAAAAGGTGAGTAAGAAAAAGAAAGGGCTGAGCAAACAAGGCGTGTAAACAAAGCACAATTTGAAATGTTAAAAACTTTAGTGTTCCAAATATCTTATGGGGAGGTAAATACATTTAACACATTTGTTAGGAGCTGATCCAAGGACACAAAAAATGACTTTTGGGGAGAAACACTGTCTTCAAACGTAAGTTCTGGTTTATAAAAAAAACTCCACAGGGCACCAATATTTCCCAAGCAGTAGAACAGCAGTTACTCATTGCTGATCGACATTGTATTTTGATGTCAGATTGTCCATCTACGGCTCAGTTATTTTAAACAAAATCCCATGTATCAGAAATCCTACACGTAAACGCAAACGAACAGAAGTTAAGCGTTTGACCCCCAGTTTTTGCTCCGAGGCGCGTGATTGGTTGGGAGAGGCAGGTAGGTGTGTGCCGGGCGGTCCCTGGCGCTTGACGGAACCATGTGATGACACAATAGGCGGGGCCACATGGTTAGATCAAGCACAAGAGACAGCTGCACGAACCAATCAGAATGCAGGTCCACACAGGAGGAAGGCGGGGCAACAGAGAGCTGCACCAATCAGTCAGGGAGCAGGGTCCATACAGGACAGGAGAGGCAACAGACAGCTGCAGGTCCACACAGGAAGTGGGAGGCAGGACCAGAGAACTGCCCACCAATAGCAGAAATGTCCACACAGGTCCAGAGAGGAAGAGGATATGCAGGGAGAGGCATGGGACTGCAGAGAGGAAGGGCCGAAGCAAAGGTGACAGCCATGACCAGCTTTGGGGGAAATCTGGAACCTAATTATCTCACATCATTATCTTTTCTTAGCACAATCCCATTCAGCATAAGGTTAAAGTGACTGCTGGAATTCATTCAGCTGACAGAGGTCCCCTATTATGCTGCCTCGAAAACCAATGATTTGCTCATAACCACCAGTTTAACACAACTCAGTTTCAACAGTTTGCATGGGAACTTTAAAAATTCATTTCCCAGAGACCTATTAAAAAAAAGGCATAATATTGAGAAGAGGGAAAACAACCTGAAGAGCCACGGCAGAGAGGCAGCAGTGTTGATGCGAGGTGCACGTCTACACAGACACACACACACCATTTCACACACTCACACAAGTGGGCAATCTCAGTGTATGGCCAGTCCCTGCTGAGTTAGTTATTGTGCTGCCTCAGTATACTGAATTGGCCTGTGTTGTAATTAGTGAAACCCATGGCTCGTATCAAAGGAAATAACAGTAATACAACACTACCACAGAGAGAGAGGCAGATAGTGCATGTGAATGCTTGTGTGTGTGTGTGTGTGTGTGTGTGCTCTAGTGAATGCACATCACTTTGAGTTTTTATTTTTTTAACATTGTACCAAACACACGTATATTTAAAACTGTGTGTGTTTGCTGCACGCTTGTATTTGTGCATTGTGGCATTTTACTTTTCACCTGATAAGCAAGCGTTTAAATTGGCCTTTAGAGGTAATTAACTCCATATGCATGTATGAATTCAACCCTGTCTCTTCTAAATTATATTTGTGCAGCATATACAACCCACTTGTAAAAGCAAATCAGGTTGGAGCCAGAACAATAAGGAAACAGTATTGTTTAACTTGCTGTGGTTGTGCTTGGGCACTTATAGGATTTGTTTAAGATTCGAGAAAGATTGTGGTCTAGTTGAAGACAGAAATAGTCAACAGTGACTTGAGATGTAATCAATCCCGAGTCTCAAAGTCCTTCTCTGGTTATTTGCACCCCTAAAAACTCTCTGTGTATCAAAGTTGCATATTTATTTTTCCATAAAAATATTCCCTTCCTACCGTCAAATGGCTTAGATATAACACTAGACTCTTGTTTCCTATAGAATGTGCTGATCTAAGAAGTTTCTCCATTCACCTCAAGCACACCAGCTCACCCTAACCTCTGACTAAACACTGTAACACTACTCTGCACCGCACAGTGGAGAGTTGAAATATCAGCCACTTCAGCCATACATGTTAGAACTGGCAACAGATTCTAAAAAACAAGAATAACGGTACAGTAAACCCCACCCTGCAAGCTGTCAGGATTAATTCTTTATGTTTGCTATGTATGAAACATGTCTGAATCCATGTTTTTCAGATGGTCTTTAGTCCGCTGCAGCTTCAAAGTGGAAAAACTAATCAGTGACATTGAATAATCATTTCGCTCGTGATAGCATATAAAAAGCATCACATGTACATTTAAAGGAGGTAAAAAACTTTCGCCAGAGTGGGTCTTCAACAAACATGCTTTTGTTGCCTAGCCACAGGGACTCTGGACTGGAGCACTGACTTCTGGTTTGAGTCCACCAACCACCTCCTGCTTATTTTGACATAGTTCATAAATGGAGCTCGATTCATGTAAAACAGACTCCCTACCTCTGACCATAATCCAGTCAGCAGTAAGGTTGGGAAAACAACGTCGTTCAGTGTATGAGGACACAGAGTCGAGGTGTTTTTGGAGTGCCTGTGTGAATCTGTCCCCTACCTGTGCACCTGAACTTCTTGCCTTTGACCTGGCTGATTCGCTTGTTAGCCAGCCTTCTGGGATGGCTGCAGCGTGCTCCACTGGTCTCAATTGGGTTGTCAAACAGGTAGTCTGCCAGCCACTTCAGGTGACAGTCACACATAAAGGGATTCTGGGCCAGATGACTGAGAGAAAGAAAAGGGAGAGAAGAGAGGAGGTGGGGGGGAGATGGGAGAAAAGAAGAGGACAGCACAGTCACTACAGCTACCTCAGTTATTGTGTTTTGTGAAATACTTTGAAGACACTCATACAAAATGTTCAACTGATTCAACACATCAAAGCTGTTGCACTTGTTGCCCTAAACTCCTGGTGTCTGGTACATCTTTGCTTGGAAAAATCCTCCACCTAGTTGGATATGTAATGTTTCATGTGTCACATTTTTACCCTTGGTGGGCGCATTTTTTACTTCAATATAAAGTTCTGCACCTTAATGGAAACAGCACAACAGAGGCTAGAAGTTGAAAGAACTCAGAAATGCCTCCCATGCAGTATGAGTAAGACATAATGCCATAAACCTTAAAAGAGAATTATTAAACAAAAAATGTAAAAAAAACCCCAAAAACCTGGAATCAACAGGTGATAGTAATACTGGATAAACAGTGACTCCTTACATTTTTAATTTCTTTCCATACTTGACTACTATCCGCCTGCAGTTCAACCCAGTTTACCCTAAAAAGTCATGGGGTCGTATGGTCAGAGCAAACGGTTTATTTTTTGATTTA